CTAAGTCACACTTGTATACTTGCTCAGCTGGTATCTAGTGCTGTGCCGGCATTTGGCGATGAGGTTGCACCTTGTGTTAAGGGTTGCTTTGTCGGCCGTGATGATTTCTAGCTTCTCTGCTAGACAGAGGTTACAGCGCTTGTTTCCGCTAGGATCCACGTTAAAATCCCATTATGCTGTGACCAGTCTGCATTGACTCTCTTACCCTGACGCTGGCTCCCTGTCACAAGGGAGTGACATGGCACTATGGAGCAGTCATCTTATAGTAGTGGTGGTAGTAGTAGTAGTAGTAGGAGGAGCAGCAGCAGCAGCAGCAGCAGCAGCAGCAGCAGCAGCAGCAGCAGCAGCAGCAGCAGTAGTGGGTGTGTGTGTGTTTGTGTGTGAATGCGTGCGTGAGTGTGAGTCTCACGGGTGATAATTGCACCCATTCGATGAGATGGTCTTGCCCACAGTACCTATGGAAGGACCTGTTGGGAAAGACCATCTCATCGAATGGATGCAATTATCACCCATGAGACTCACACTCACACACGCATGCAAGTACACACACACACACATTTCGATGTTTGTATTGTTTTTCTCTCTCTGGTATCCTGTATTTTCTAGTTCACACGTGCAATGTGCCAAAATTGGCTCATGGTAGGCAGAACAATAAACAGTCAGAAATCGAGTATGGAATGACTGTGGCATACAGATGTGATGTTGGATATTGGATGAACGGACCTGCTACAGTGAAATGCACTGCCAATGGTTTAAGTGGACACACTTCATGTTTTGGTTAGTGGAATGTACTCACTCGTATCAGTTCACGTTTCTGTTGGGTTTTCTAGTTTCAAACGAGCAACACATTCATGATATACAAAGTTTAACACAGTCCACACTTGCATCACGACATGACTTGTTATGGTTTTTCCCATCAAGAAAATCAGTCTGAACGGCATTTTAACGGTACAAGAACGACAGTGTCAAAATTGCAATACGGTCTCTTAATTGTTTTCTTCTATTAAATTCACTCTAAGATTGTACGCTGAAGACACAAAGGACGTCATTACCACACCTCACACCCAGCGGCCAACTGCGGGCAAGGTGGAGATGGAGTACGTCAGACATACTGATATCCAATGACCTAGGATCTCGGCACAATTGCGGTGCATAGAATGACAAAAGGGAGATGTTTCTGATTTCGTTTCGGTGTGAAACTGCAGTTAACATCCCAGTGCACGCACAGACATTGAAGAAAAGGTTTGGGGTAGACTGTAACTCGCGCTGGGGAAGGGAGTTAGGCTTACACTCCCACCAACACATGGTTGGGGGGCGGGGGGCAATGGGAAAAAAGGGGGCAATAGCCCCTCCCCTCCCCCCCCCCCCCACCACCACAACTGCTCTAGAGCAGTGGTGGTTGGGGAGGGGGGGGGGGAGGGGCTGGTGCCCTCTTTTCCCCTCCCCTTAACCACCACTACCCCCAACATAATTATTTGGTAAACTCTGTGAATAGTAATGTTTGCAAGCTCAAAATAGGATACATGTAGATGTAGCAGTGCATGCTGTCAGGTCATAGAGCTTATCCTGGTATGGAATGCAGTGTTTTCAGAAACATGCACAGTCAAGCACATGTGCTTGACTGTGCATGTGCTTGACTGTACATGTGCTTGACTGTACATGTGCTTGGCTGTACATGTGCTTGACTGTACATGTGCTTGACTGTACATGTGCTTGACTGTACATGTGCTTGACTGTACATGTGCTTGACAGGCTCAGACATGGCCGGATACATGTAGCATGGCTGGTCCATGTCATTCTTTGTCATTATGTGCGTGCTGGGGGGGGGGGGGGGGGGTTCCATGCAGGCTACGCACCTGGAAAGGTTATTTTTCTTGGACACTTTCCTTCAAAATCGAAAGGCAGGAGCACATTTACATCTTGTTTGTTTGTTCATTTTATTTTACTTCAACAAGTGAACAGGCATTTCTGCATTCTCACCAGGTCCGGAGACCTAGTTCCGACAAAATGACGAAGAGTAAATGAAAAGAAGAACATGCTACGAGTTATGACTAACTGTCCACCAACGTAACCAGATCTTATGCAGTCAGTGAGTGCGACAAAAATGGCACAAAACTGACAAGGAGTACTCAGACATTCGGCGACACCTAACTCCAACACTTCTCCAAGGCGCAAACCAACAACCTTCCAACTAAGAAGGCTCAGGATCAGAAAGGTTCCAGAGGGGAACTTCTTCTTTTCACAATAATTTAAAGGGGCACTCCGGCTTCATTTTCGACGCCGAGTTTTCGATGCCAAGACGAAGGTAGGTGAAAGAGAAGACCCCTCGAACAAGAACGAGTCTCCAGAAGCGATCGAGTCCAGCAGGAAGACGACTTTTGAATTTCGCCGAGCGAGCGCTGATGACGTAATGAGGGATTAGCTTGCCAGTGGAAATGCATCTGCGCACATACATTTCACACCCCTTGTTGGCCAATTTTCAATCGAAGAGGAGGTTGTTTGCTATGTTCTTTCAACGTCGTGAGCGATCCCGTCTTCTATACCCTTCCAGGTACCCTGAAGGTCCTCCAGAGGAGAATTTATATCCAGCAAAGCGTTTGTTGATCCGCTAAATTCGTCTCGAGACATATTCAACCAGTGCAATGCTGATAAATATAGAATATTGAATCTGTGATAATTGTCGACGATGGAGAGAGAGAGGTTGATAGCCGCTGTCGCAGGGAAAGTGAAGCTGCTGGAAGTAACGACGGGGAGCTTGTTAGCATCACATGAGCATCCAGACTTCAAAGCAGCTTGATGGAATCGGGGAGTACTGACTATTTGTCTCGCCCTCAGTTAAGTGAATTTTATGACCAGAAGTTATTCGATCAGGATCCCTTCTACAAGATAATTATTACGCACACACACTCATGGCCAAGGCCAATGAAGGAGGAGGTGATGGCTATTATACTGTAAGACATGTATATATAACGAGGAAGTAAATCTAATGCTTTAACGGATGACATTTCTTCGTTATAATAAGATCCGTTGAGGCCATACTGCTTCATTATGTTGTGTGTGGATATGCCGGAATACTGCAAGATCGTTAAACATAACTTCTCGTTAACCTATGAATTTTGGACAATCGTTAAATTTGCGACTCGTTATAATAACATGTCTTACAGTAGCCATGGCAAAAAAAAGAAAAAAAGAAAATGTCCCCAAAAAAAATAGTCATGAGGCATCAGTTGTTTCTCTCTTCTGTTTCTGTGTGTTATTTTTGTTGTCAGGATATTATAGGAGTGAAACTCGCCGTGCGAACGGTGACCTTCGTTGCCCAGTGGGCATGTACTTATCAGTTCCCCCTATGTCCTACCTTCCAGAAGGACCAGGTAGCCAGAAAACTCTTTCCGAAGCAAAGGGCATTTGCCAAGCACTACATATGACTTTACCACCAAGGAGTGCTGCTCATTGCTTGTGGGACTTTGCCTACCACAGCACTGTTGGAAATGATATTGGCTATGAAGGTGTATGGGCAGACTACTGGCTAAGCTCCTCTGCCGATGTTGATTACAAAGTAAAGTTAAGGAGTGGTGGTGATGTGGATCGTGAACGTGGAAGTGTAATCTGCTATGGTGAGTAATGGCTGTTGTTGTTGATTGGTTGGTTTGAATTCTTTATTCTCAAGACGGCACCATCGCCAACAAGAGATAAGTTTACGAGAAGGTGAGATGCTGTGGGTTGGACTGTGGGTTATGCAGTTGGAAAGTGATTTACATCACCTTGAGTTTTACAAGTATGGGAGAGGGTGAGCGCTGCAGGAGCAGATTGAGTTAATCAGCGGTGAGCAGATTTCTTGTTTGAAAGCAGGTCGGGAGGAGACGTCACGAATGCTAGCAGGGAGGGCATTGTAGTATTCTAGGGACTTGTACAGTGGGGAGTCTTTACAGCGATCGGTTCTGGAGGGTGGGAGGTGCCAAGTGCGTGCGTGTCGAAGGCTATACTGGGCCGTAACTTGAGCGGGGTTGCTGAGCACGCGTATGTGTTGTGGGGCATATTGGTATTTTATGGAGTGAGCAAGAAGGGTGAGCTTCACTTTGCGGCGAGAGAACATTGTCGGCCCTTTGAGCCGATGGAGTGGTGTTGAATGATTCAGAGGAGTGTAAAGGCTGGATACGCTCAAGACGGTGAAGTGCTGTGATTGAGAGCTGGGTGACAGCAATGCATGCATAATTCAAATTATAATAGGGGTTGGTTGGTTGGTTGGTTGGTTGGTTAGTTGGTTGGGGGGGGGGGGGGGGTTTGTTTGTTTAGTTGGTTGGGTGGCACTGGGTGGGTGGGTGGTTGGTTAGTATGGGGGCCAGGTGCCCAAAATGTTTACTTTCGTTGCAGTTGAGAACGCACAATGTTTTAGGAGTTTCAACGTGTAGACGGGACCACAAGTATAAATAATCTGAACAACATTGTCATTAGTTGAGAAGAAGTAGCGACAACCCGGCCATTATGGAATTCAATACAGTCGTCCCTCTCTAATCTGGCACTTGTTTATCCAGCACCCTTGCAAACCAGTACACTTTCTGGCAAACGGATTTTTTGAGTTCATTTTCCACGCTTCAATCCGACACTTGAATTCCGCCTCCAGCAGCGATTTTCTGCAACAAATCACTCAAACTGTACATAATTCGATTTTCTAATCCAGCAGTTGTACATCGCATACTGTCAGGAAGCATTGTAACATACACAACACATGTAACATACACTTGGGAATATCCTATGCCAGTGCATAGGGTATTCCCAAGTGTATGTTATAGACATGCATTCCACAAAGTACTTGGTTTGACACAGAAAATCCCTACGTTCGACATACGACACAAACATGTATGTTAACAGGTGGATCGAGTTGGAGGGCAGGATTTAATAATCCAGCACCCTTGTTTATCCAGCAGAAAATGCCGTTGCGGGATTAGAGAGGTATGCCTGTACACCGCACCATCACATCGCGCTCTTGGCCGATCCAAACTATGCACTCACATCACCATCACCACAGCGAGGACAATTCCAGTATAGAGGTTTATATGCCTCCACTGATGAGCTCGGGAGGGGCGAAACAGCTGTCTGGACGGTCATTGTCAATATCAACCTCTATACTGGAATTGTCCTCGCTGTGGTGATGGTTTGTTATGGGATTTTGCTATTATGTCTGTGTTTGTGTCTGTGTGTTTGTGTGAACAGTACCTGTGTCGATCTCTCTACCAGCAGTAGACCCACTGGCTAGCAGTTATTCAGTGGAAGTTCTGTTATTCAACACGAGCAGTGGTGAATATCAGAGTGTGTCGAGAGAGGATAATTTGAGATTTGGTGATTTCCCGCACGTCGTACCATCTGGTGTTGTCAGTGGTTCTCAGTATGTAACAATTGTCACAGGTAATCTAGCAGATGGAAGTCAACGTTCCATCCAGTTTGTCTCTTTGACTGCTGAGCCAATCGGTGAGTATGAGTGTTGTGGCTGTTAAGACTTTGAAATTGTTTGGGCCCACGGTTGTATTCTCTATTCTCATCCGACTTACCGCGCTTTATTACATGTGTTGGAGGCTATTTCTTTTTGGGTTTGTTTATAGACAAAGTTGCAGCAGCACTGTTGGGTCTTGAACGAATTTGAAGATGAACACTGCGTTGCTTTTGGGTGGCCTGGATCTTTTGATAAAATGGCTTGTAGGGCGTGGGGGTGGTTTTGGTTGCTGAGGTTGTTGTTTTGGATGTGTTTGTAATTGTTGGGTTGTATGTTTTACACAGGAGTGCAACGTGATTTATTGATGTGGCCAAGTGATGGTGGTGTGTCCATTATGGATGTTGACCTTGGTAGAAGTCATGTTAGTATTACGTTGCCAGAACTGAGTGAGTCTCAGAGAAGTGACTATTCCGATTTTGAAGTGGAGTATCAAAGGATTGGAGACAGTAGTTGGATATCTGCTGGCAGTGTGTCAACATCAGAGAAGACATTTGTTCTGTCGGAGAATCTTGATGCTGGTAACTATGTAGTACGAGTTCGTGGAACAGACGGCAGCACTGTTCATTCAGAGCATACTCCTCATCTTCAATTCTTCACCACCGGCAAAGGTTAGTGTAGTTTTCTGGCAAGCATGTTCAGTTTTCTTTGGGTTTAGTCTGTATTGTTGTCCCTTTGGGGTGTTTTGAGTCTAGAAGATTTGTTTTCTTATTGAAGTGTGAGTGTAGAGATTAGTTTGGTTGTTCCCTTTTGAAGAGCTGTCCGCAATAAACTTTCTTGTTTGCCCTGATGCACAATTGCAATGTAAAGTTATAGGATTTTGCTATTATGTCTGTGTTTGTGTCTGTGTGTTTGTGTTGTGTTTGTGTGAACAGTACCTGTGTCGATCTCTCTACCAGCAGTAGACCCACTGGCTATCAGTTATTCTGTAGAAGTTCTGCTATTCAACACGAGCACTGGTGAATATCAGAGTGTGTCGAGAGAGGATAATTTGAGAGTTGGTGATTTCCCGCACGGCGTACCATCTGGTGTTGTCAGTGGTTCTCAGTATGTAACAATTGTCACAAGTAATCTAGCAGATGGAAGTCAACGTTCCATCCAGTTTGTCTCTTTGACTGCTGAGCCAATCGGTGAGTATGAGTGTTGTGGCTGTTTAGACTTTGAAATTGTCTGGGCCCACTGTTGTATTCTCTATTCTTATCCGACTTGCCATGCTATATTACATGTGTTAGAGGCTATTTCATTTTGGGTTTTTTGTAGACAAAGTTTCAGTAGCACTGTTGGGTCTTGAACGAATTTGAAGATGAACACTGCCCCACTTTTGGATGGCCTGGCTTTTTTGATAAAGTGGCTTGTAGGGCATGGGCGTTTTTGGCTTGCTGAGATTGTGGTTTTGGATGTGTTCTCTGCTCCAAATTTGTTTGCACGAGCATCAGCATGCAAACTCAGCCCCATCACACACAGCAGCCATTTGAATATGCGGTGAATGCAGACCTACTGCACAAGACGCACAAAGCATAGCTGGGTTTAGAACCCTATCCATGATAGGAGCAGGAAAATCGGTTGAGGTCGCCGAATACTTTGGCTAATCACGACTTGCGCGGTCCCCATCTCTCTGATACCCCTCGGCAGCAGTTCGCGTCTCAACGGGCAGATCACTACCCCTCACCAACAGCCACAGCAGCATCAACAACATGGCACCTGGCGCCCGGCACTTCGGATCCAGGATCCCAGCAGCCTAGCGTAGCACCCGTGCTATTTGCAGATATAACATACAGCACGTAAAGACACACAGAACTTCCGCAGTGAATGTTCTTGTACAAACTTTGGAGGGTTGTATTGTATTCACAATTTTTGAAATAAGACGCACAATACGACATCAGTCTAGAACTAGCCACACTGACTTATTATATCAATCAACGAATAAAATATCTAACATAGCTATGATGTCAAATATTGCTGCGCTCTTCCATGAAGTGTTCGTATCATTGTTACATTGGCCGCCGATTTTGCTGGCCAGCGGCAGTCGGCTGCTGCGGGCAGACTTTGACAAAATGCCCTGGCTGCCCACATCTGTGGCACACCGGAGGGGGGCGAAAGTTACCTGGCATATGCTGAATGGGACCTGGATGTGGACGAGGTGGGATCCTCATCCCCTGCCCTGCCTGAACATTAGCATTGACCGCACCTAGGCTATGCACACCTCCTGCCACTTTCTTTTTCACCCCTTCTGCTTGGATTGCGGCCTGGAGCCGTTTCTGCTTTTTGGAGCCTGTCACCAAGTCCACAAGCAGGTTACCTCCTTGGAAAGCTGTCGCCACCTGGTGGCCATGGTTTTCAGCAACAACAAGCCACTCCTGCCTATCTCTTAGTATACGCTCACCTTTTTTCGCTGCCCTTCTCCTTCTTCTCTTTGACTTTGACTTCATTGAGGCAATGAATTCTAACAGTTCCTCGTTCAATGCAAACTGCTTTGCATAACTGGTCGTCTTCCAGTTCAGCTCCGTGGGTGTTCGTACTTCCTTTTTCGCCTCGGCGAGCGGGATCTTGAGCTCGACTCTGAGGAGGACGAAGACGAGGACGATGATGACCTTTCATCGGAGGAGTTTCCCACTCGTCTTCTTTTCAATTGCCTGCCTCGTTCTGCTAGCCATGCCTCTTTCCAGCATTCGGATCTTCATGTCTAAGAGCCCTTGCTCGCTCTCGAAATCCGTGAAATTCATGGCTGCCTTGGACACAGCAGCACTAGCTTGTTGTGGAGCTGCAGTTGGGGGTGCCGAGGCGTGGTGCTCCACTGCCGTTTCGTACTCTGACGACGACGACGACGACCTGGTTCCGACCTTATCGGAGTCAGGAAACTCAAGTACAGCTGAGGCACGAGCGCCTCTTCTCTTGCCTCTACCTCTACCCCGACCAGAGTTCACAGTTTTTACTTTACGACCACTCATGTTGGCAGCAGGAAAGAACAGCACTACACGACGACTACGACAGAGAAAATGTTTTTGGGCAGCTGCACACTTGGCAAGAAGAAAAACAATGATCTGCAGAATCACAGCAACAGCACTGTCAGCCACAGCACACTGCCCTCGTACCCGTTCCATACGCACGTGCAAAACATATTAACAGAGAACTAGCTTTCTCGTTTCTTTCACTTTGCTCAGCCAACGAGAACTGAACATTTTGTGATTGTTTGGTTGTATGTTTTACACAGGAGTGCAACGTGATTTATTGATGTGGCCAAGTGATGGTGGTGTGTCCATTATGGATGTTGACCTTGGTAGAAGTCATGTTAGCATTACATTGCCAGAACTGAGTGAGTCTCAGAGAAGTGACTATTCCGATTTTGAAGTGGAGTATCAAAGGATTGGAGACAGTAGTTGGATATCTGCTGGCAGTGTGTCAACATCAGAGAAGACATTTGTTCTGTCGGAGAATCTTGATGCTGGTAACTATGTAGTACGAGTTCGTGGAACAGACGGCAGCACTGTTCATTCAGAGCATACTCCTCATCTTCAATTCTTCACCACCGGCAAAGGTTAGTGTAGTTTTCTGGCAAGCATGTTCAGTTTTCTTTGGGTTTAGTCTGTATTGTTGTCCCTTTGGGGTGTTTTGAGTCTAGAAGATTTGTTTTCTTATTGAAGTGTGAGTGTAGAGATTAGTTTGGTTGTTCCCTTTTGAAGAGCTGTCCGCAATAAACTTTCTTGTTTGCCCTGATGCACAATTGCAATGTAAAGTTATAGGATTTTGCTATTATGTCTGTGTTTGTGTCTGTGTGTTTGTGTTGTGTTTGTGTGAACAGTACCTGTGTCGATCTCTCTACCAGCAGTAGACCCACTGGCTATCAGTTATTCTGTAGAAGTTCTGCTATTCAACACGAGCACTGGTGAATATCAGAGTGTGTCGAGAGAGGATAATTTGAGAGTTGGTGATTTCCCGCACGGCGTACCATCTGGTGTTGTCAGTGGTTCTCAGTATGTAACAATTGTCACAAGTAATCTAGCAGATGGAAGTCAACGTTCCATCCAGTTTGTCTCTTTGACTGCTGAGCCAATCGGTGAGTATGAGTGTTGTGGCTGTTTAGACTTTGAAATTGTCTGGGCCCACTGTTGTATTCTCTATTCTTATCCGACTTGCCATGCTATATTACATGTGTTAGAGGCTATTTCATTTTGGGTTTTTTGTAGACAAAGTTTCAGTAGCACTGTTGGGTCTTGAACGAATTTGAAGATGAACACTGCCCCACTTTTGGATGGCCTGGCTTTTTTGATAAAGTGGCTTGTAGGGCATGGGCGTTTTTGGCTTGCTGAGATTGTGGTTTTGGATGTGTTCTCTGCTCCAAATTTGTTTGCACGAGCATCAGCATGCAAACTCAGCCCCATCACACACAGCAGCCATTTGAATATGCGGTGAATGCAGACCTACTGCACAAGACGCACAAAGCATAGCTGGGTTTAGAACCCTATCCATGATAGGAGCAGGAAAATCGGTTGAGGTCGCCGAATACTTTGGCTAATCACGACTTGCGCGGTCCCCATCTCTCTGATACCCCTCGGCAGCAGTTCGCGTCTCAACGGGCAGATCACTACCCCTCACCAACAGCCACAGCAGCATCAACAACATGGCACCTGGCGCCCGGCACTTCGGATCCAGGATCCCAGCAGCCTAGCGTAGCACCCGTGCTATTTGCAGATATAACATACAGCACGTAAAGACACACAGAACTTCCGCAGTGAATGTTCTTGTACAAACTTTGGAGGGTTGTATTGTATTCACAATTTTTGAAATAAGACGCACAATACGACATCAGTCTAGAACTAGCCACACTGACTTATTATATCAATCAACGAATAAAATATCTAACATAGCTATGATGTCAAATATTGCTGCGCTCTTCCATGAAGTGTTCGTATCATTGTTACATTGGCCGCCGATTTTGCTGGCCAGCGGCAGTCGGCTGCTGCGGGCAGACTTTGACAAAATGCCCTGGCTGCCCACATCTGTGGCACACCGGAGGGGGCGAAAGTTACCTGGCATATGCTGAATGGGACCTGGATGTGGACGAGGTGGGATCCTCATCCCCTGCCCTGCCTGAACATTAGCATTGACCGCACCTAGGCTATGCACACCTCCTGCCACTTTCTTTTTCACCCCTTCTGCTTGGATTGCGGCCTGGAGCCGTTTCTGCTTTTTGGAGCCTGTCACCAAGTCCACAAGCAGGTTACCTCCTTGGAAAGCTGTCGCCACCTGGTGGCCATGGTTTTCAGCAACAACAAGCCACTCCTGCCTATCTCTTAGTATACGCTCACCTTTTTTCGCTGCCCTTCTCCTTCTTCTCTTTGACTTTGACTTCATTGAGGCAATGAATTCTAACAGTTCCTCGTTCAATGCAAACTGCTTTGCATAACTGGTCGTCTTCCAGTTCAGCTCCGTGGGTGTTCGTACTTCCTTTTTCGCCTCGGCGAGCGGGATCTTGAGCTCGACTCTGAGGAGGACGAAGACGAGGACGATGATGACCTTTCATCGGAGGAGTTTCCCACTCGTCTTCTTTTCAATTGCCTGCCTCGTTCTGCTAGCCATGCCTCTTTCCAGCATTCGGATCTTCATGTCTAAGAGCCCTTGCTCGCTCTCGAAATCCGTGAAATTCATGGCTGCCTTGGACACAGCAGCACTAGCTTGTTGTGGAGCTGCAGTTGGGGGTGCCGAGGCGTGGTGCTCCACTGCCGTTTCGTACTCTGACGACGACGACGACGACCTGGTTCCGACCTTATCGGAGTCAGGAAACTCAAGTACAGCTGAGGCACGAGCGCCTCTTCTCTTGCCTCTACCTCTACCCCGACCAGAGTTCACAGTTTTTACTTTACGACCACTCATGTTGGCAGCAGGAAAGAACAGCACTACACGACGACTACGACAGAGAAAATGTTTTTGGGCAGCTGCACACTTGGCAAGAAGAAAAACAATGATCTGCAGAATCACAGCAACAGCACTGTCAGCCACAGCACACTGCCCTCGTACCCGTTCCATACGCACGTGCAAAACATATTAACAGAGAACTAGCTTTCTCGTTTCTTTCACTTTGCTCAGCCAACGAGAACTGAACATTTTGTGATTGTTTGGTTGTATGTTTTACACAGGAGTGCAACGTGATTTATTGATGTGGCCAAGTGATGGTGGTGTGTCCATTATGGATGTTGACCTTGGTAGAAGTCATGTTAGCATTACATTGCCAGAACTGAGTGAGTCTCAGAGAAGTGACTATTCCGATTTTGAAGTGGAGTATCGAAGGATTGGAGACAGTAGTTGGATATCTGCTGGCAGTGTGTCAACATCAGAGAAGACATTTGTTCTGTCGGAGAATCTTGAAGCCGGTAACTATGAAGTACGAGTTCGTGCAACAGACGGCAGCACTGTTCATTCAGAGCATACTCCTCATCTTCAATTCTTCACCACCGGCAAAAGTTAGTGTAGTTTTCTGGCAAGCATGTTCAGTTTTCTTTGGGTTTAGTCTGTATTGTTGTCCCTTTGGGGTGGTTTTAGTGTAGAAGATTTGTTTTCTTATTGAAGTGTGAGTGTAGAGATTAGTTTGGTTGTTCCCTTTTGAAGAGCTTTGCACAATAAACTTTCTTGTTTGCCGTAATGCAAAATTGCAATGTAATGTTATGGGATATGTAACGTTAAAGAGAAAAGGATCTATAAGTTATTACAGTCAGTTTCAAAAAGATTAGCAATCCTGGTGATCGCCCGGGGAGTTTGCCGTCTTACCGTATGAGCGCTCGAGCGCTGCCTGGAAAAACTCACTGTGAACTCGAAGAAATATTCCGCGCGAAAGCATGAAAAATGACAACTCACTCAGCTCAGGTCGATGTCGGTACAGTCGTGTACGTCTGGTTCACAACAAACGAGTTCTTCCTCGCATCGATTATGGAGTCAGAGAGGACATGTCGAAAGTGTAGTAAATGCCAAGGCTGACGAGCGGCATGGCCATGGGTCCCAATATGTTTTGTGACCAAATAGTTTCTTTGAGCTGCGATGCAATTTACTCTCACCATGTGACGAAAACGACATCGACACAGACTCATTCCCAAGGCCATGACTTGGCGAAGCTATCCGTATGACTTCGACAACATTTTGAGAAAAGCAGACACCTGTGGAAGCTGATAGAAGACGGCGTTGACTTCTAAATTCAAATAAATTGGCGATCTTGAAATACTAAAATAATTCTCAAAAAGAAATCGATCGATCGATGTGCCGGTGTATTCAACACGTAGCTACAGCGCAATGACTTCCGTATTCACTCACACCGCTTCAGTGTTAATGTTGTGGGTGTGTTCACATGGCGTGAGCCAGTCAAGTGTCAGTCAGTTCGGGAGGAAGCGGGAGCTCCAACAACAACAATCGTGAACAACTACAAGTCTGCTTGATCACCAAAAAACAATGAAAAAAAGTGTGAGTTGAAGATAGGTTGGGATTTGAACTCACAACTTCATGGTCAGCAGACAGCATCCATAACCACAAGGCCAGAAAGGAAAAGATAAATCGTGGGTTTTGATAGAAAAATCGATACTGGCTTCCAGGGCAAATTGCAAACCATGGGAAAAGGCCGGAAACCTGGCCGAAATTCTAACTCCTTAACGGCTGGTCCAATTGTTCCGAAACCTTCACAGAACAATTTGCCGTGCCCTAACCAGCCCTTTTATGTACTTCGTTGTCCAATTTCCCCTTATCTTCATACTTTTTAAGACCAAAACCTGATTGCTAATCTTTTTGAAACAGACTAGTTATGACGAACAGTGGCCGAAGGACATAGCTCGTGCACATCTTTGTTGCTCATCCCTTCCCCTCATTGGAATTTTCCGCACCTGAGCCTTCCAAGTTGGAAGGCTGTTGGTTTGCGCTTCGTAGATGTGTTGGAGCTAGGTGACAGGTCTTCGAATGTCTCAACATCCTTGTCAGTTTTGTGCCTCGTTGTCACACTATCTAACTGTATATTATCTCGTTACCTTTGTGGACTGTTGGTCATAACTAGTAACTTATAGGTCCTTTTCTCTTTACATATTACTATTGGCTCAACATCCGAGTTTTTATTAAAGTTATGGGATTTTGCTATCATGTGTGTGTTTGTGTCTGTGTGTTTGTGTTGTGTTTGTGTGAACAGTACCTGTGTCAATCTCTCTACCATCAGTAGACCCACTGGCTATCAGTTATTCAGTAGAAGTTCTGTTGTTCAACACGAGCAGTGGTAAATATCAGAGTGTATCGAGAGAGGATAATTTGAGAGTTGGTGATTTCCCGCACGGCGTACCATCTGGTGTTGTCAGTGGTTCTCAGTATGTAACAATAGTCACAAGTAATCTAGCAGATGGAAGTCAACGTTCCATCCAGTTTGTCTCTTTGATTGCTGAGCCAATCGGTGAGTATGAGTGTTGTGGCCATTTAGACATTGTGTCCTTGCTGCCCGCGGTTGTTTGTTTTAGTCTCACCCAATTTATCCCCACGCTTTAATTCATTGTGCGTGTAGATATTTCATTTTAGGTTTGTTTTGTTGGGTAGTTTGCAGCAGCAGTGTCGGTCCTTGAACGAATTTGAGCATAAACATACCCCCACTGTTGGGCGGCCTGCCTTTTTTTTTTGGATGATGTGGCTGTCTTCGTCGTCGTTGTGGTTGATGTTGTCGTTGTTCTGGTTTTGGATATGTTTGTGATTGTTTGGTTGTATGTTTTACACAGGAGTGCAACGTGATTTATTGATGTGGCCAAGTGATGGTGGTGTGTCCATTATGGATGTTGACCTTGGTAGAAGTCATGTTAGCATTACATTGCCAGAACTGAGTGAGTCTCAGAGAAGTGACTATTCCGATTTTGAAGTGGAGTATCGAAGGATTGGAGACAGTAGTTGGATATCTGCTGGCAGTGTGTCAACATCAGAGAAGACATTTGTTCTGTCGGAGAATCTTGAAGCTGGTAACTATGAAGTACGAATTCGTGCAACAGACGGCAGCACTGTTCATTCAGAGCATACTCCTCATCTTCAATTCTTCACCACCGGCAAAAGTTAGTGTAGTCTTCTGGCAAGCATGTTCAGTTTTCTTTGGGTTTAGTCTGTATTGTTGTCCCTTTGGGGTGTTTTTAGTGTAGAAGATTTGTTTTCTTATTGAAGTGTGAGTGTAGAGATTAGTTAAGTTGTTCCCTTTTGAAGAGCTTTGCACAATAAACTTTCTTGTTTGCCGTAATGCAAAATTGCAATGTAATGTTATAGATCCTTTTCTCTTTAACGTTGATGTTGAATGAAAGAATAATAAGAATATTTGAATATTTACCTACTGACAATGTTGTGCAGAACAACGAAACGTCTGGAAACGTATCGTAAATAGTTCTATCTTTGGACTCGGATGGAGAGCCAATAATCAATTTATACAAAAGAGAAAGGACCAAGGAGCTACAAGTTAAGCTATACTGTCCACTAACACCACCGGTCAGTGTCGTGCACTGTTATCGCATGAGCTGATTGTTTAGTAACTGGTGGTGTTAGTGGACATTATAGTGTAACTTGTAGTTCCTTGGTCCTTTTTACTTTTTATAAATAATCCTTGGCTTTCCATCCGAGGTTTTTAAAACTTATTTTTAGTTTTACTTCACTATAGGCCAAAGCAATATCTGTCTTTTCAATGGACGTATGGCAACAGTTATTGATAAATTTAACGAGGAAGATACTTGAAAAACCCAACACACACACCATCCTCAAATCAAGTGGTTTCTTCCCTGCAAACTACTAATGTCTCAGTCAAATTTCGGCCGGGCGCCATCAACAGGAGGAAGCTACTTACAGTAAAACCTGTGTAACTAAAGACGACCGTCACTAGCGACCAGCCTGGTACTACCGACCACCGTGACTAGCGACCAGCCTGGTACTACCGACCACTTCGCCAGGCACGGAAGGTCTCACATTCAAAATGCACTGTGACTAGCGACTACCTGCTGAACGCGACCAGCGACCGCCTTTTCCTGTCCCAAAGACAATTTTTGACCCGTAACTAGCGACCGCGATGTAGGAAATCAAATGTTGCTCGAAGCTCCTTCTTGAAATTTTGCTTATTTTCCAGGGTCCTGAAAGGAATCTCTCGATACTACAGCTGAACAAATGAACGCAGGGAATTTTGGCTGTGGAGTCGGTGTGGACTGCACTACACCTGTCAAAATTTCAAGCGCTGTCAAGAATATACATGATAGGAAACGTCTTGGAGAGCGCATCGAAAGCGCTCTCTGATCGATGTTACTACTCGGAGGAGAAACGAAGACTAGGCGGCTCTGTCACCCCAGTCATACAGACGAATCGACGATGGTATCAAGGAATCCAGAAACAAAGCAGCACCACAAGGTCCTGATTCTGAAGGATCGCGTTCAAGCACTCGAGAAGTCACAACAAGGACAGTCGGTACGATTGATCGCATGAACAAATTTGAAGCCCAGCACAAAACGAAACTTCCCCAGGGAACTTTTGACTCCTGGCTTCAGAAGTAGAAGCTGAATTTGAAGTCTGCAAAAAATTAATATTCTCTCTCTCTCTCTCTCTGTCTCTCTCCATCTCTCCGTCTTTCTCTCCAAGTGTTGTTTGACCTGAAATAAGAATGACATTGCGCAAGTACTGGGGAATTGTATTAGCTGCATTTTGACATACATATCATATAATGGAATCCATATTTTATGGTCACGCGGTGCAAACCTCTAACTAAAGACCACCTGCTACTAAAGACCGCTTTTGCTGGCACCAATGGGTGGTCGGTAGTCACAGGTTTTACTGTATATAAAGAAAGAGGAAAAAGAATTTCACGGTTGGCGTGAGACTCGGCCAAAGGCCCAGTTTTCTGCACCCACAGGAACGCCACCACCCTCTTGGATCAAGGCGCAGATACAGCTCCTAAAGCGATGGGAGGTGAGTAGATCAGACCCACCACAAAGTGGTCAAAGACCGAAAATCCCATTCACTGCATCCATGTTTCCCTCGTGCCAGGCCACGAGTTCCCAATTAACTGTGCGTCGCAGCACGGCTTCCGCTTCCAAGTAGGACTTGAACCTGGTACCCTCTGTTTCTCAATCAAGGTCTTAGACCATCCCACTATGCCTGCCTTCTAAAAAAGAGGAAGAGGGAAATATATTCATGAAGAAGGCACAAGGGAGAAGAGGGTCATCATGGTGACATTATTAAGCCAGAATGGGGATTCCCCTGTCACGTGCCATGCACGCAACGGGCACCATAAAGTTTGCCTGAGGAGAACGAATCTTTAAAAATTTGAACAATTGTTCTGCGTGTGAGTGCTGATCTGGCAGAAATCAGCGTCGGGTGTGGAATGTCGTTCTGAGGGTGCAATGGAGTGGTTTTTGATTAGGATTACAGTGGCTCTGTTGTGCCTGCCTTGTTGGAGTTGATAGAGGAGATTTCAAGCTGTCCAGAGAGACTAAGAATTTGAATATCCATAACTGTGATATTATTTGTGACTCAAGTCGAGTTTTGTAGCGCTGTGCGGTATGGGTTAAGCAATCATACGCATTCATGTATTGTGGTAGTTTTAAGGAGGCTAGGGGAATATACTGAACGATGATCGCTGGCACGTAGTCAGGTGGTATGGGCTCTATAAAGATTTAAGCCTAAATCGAGGGGAGTTTCCATTTCGAGGGAATTTCCATTTCGATGTTTGTAATGTTTTTTTCCTCTGGTATTCTGTATTTCTAGTTCACGCGTGCAATGTGCCAAAATTTGCTCATGGTAGGCAGAACAATACTGAGTCAGTAATCCGGCATGGGACGACTGTGGCATACACATGTGATGTTGGATATAAGATGAATGGATCAGCTACAGTGACCTGCACTGCCAATGGTTTAAGTGCCAACACTACCTGTCAAGGTAAGTGGAATGTACTCACTCGTATCAGGTCACGTTTCTGTTGGGTTTTCTAGTTTCAAACGTACTTCTTGAGTAACAAATTCATAATATGCAAAGTTGAACACAGTCCACAGAACGCTGTGTGCATGTATGTGTATGTGTGTGTGTGTGTGTGTGTGTGTGTGTGTGTGTGTGTGTGCACGTGTGTGAATGTGAGTCTCACGGGTGATAATCGCATCCGTTCGAGGAGATTTTCTTGCCCAACATCCGAAGGAGATATTGATCTCCGGACGACGCTCTCAAATCTCAATGGACTCCCTGATAGTGGGAAGCACGTCACAGGATGCTCGACAAACCAGAGGGTAAACACATGGCTACTGATCACCTGCAGCACGGAACCATCAAGAGCACAGATGTAATTTTCATTGGGGCCCAAGTACCGGCTGTGGAAACACGGATGGCCAGAAAGAAAAATCAGGGAGTCCATCGAGATTCGAGAGTGTCGTCCGGAGATCAATATCTCCTTCGGATGGCCATTGAAGGCGATAGCACCCTCACAGTGAAACTGCTGAATCTTGCTGTGTCTGTACAGGGTTGTACACACAATGATTGTGGCATTCACCTTCGTACACACATTTCCTGTGCTTTATCTGCTGAGCTCTTGCATATCCACTCTTTCAGCGCACTTCTCCTTGTCGGTTGTAAATGCAAATTCATATACTCAATTGCACTCAATCTGTGGACAGCAATTGCATACGGCTGTTGTGTGTTTCATTGGTTTTGTACATGGACACACATACTTTGAAGTACGCTATCGATTGCTTTCGTTATAGAAGGCCAGGCTCGCCCCTTGTGAATTGTTCTGACGATGGGTGACTGGCCCGAAACGTGCATAATTTTTTCGGCATCATTAATGTAAAATAGAGAAGGAAAGCATGAGAACGAGTTATGCAGCAACTATCCACGACTGTAACAAGATGATAAACGGTAAGAAAGTGAGATAACACGGCACACAACTGACAGGCTACTCAGACATTCAGCGTCCGGAGACCTAGCTCTAAGACATCTTTAGTGCACAAACCATCAGCCTTCCAACTTGGAAGGTTCAGTATCCGAGTTTAGACATCAGTAATAAAAGAATGGTGCTTGGTGTTGTGTACCCTCACCAGATGTCAAATGCCACGGTGTACTTCTCGACGCGACAAGACCCAGTCAGCACTATCTGTCGCAGACATCGACTTCTTTGGGTGTGCCATGTCGTCCGTGAAGGGCCTGACTGAGGGTCTTAGCAAGCACTAGAGGTGGCAATTAGTACCCCTGACATCAAGCGCCCACGTGGCCAACCCCATCTCAGATGGATTGACAATATTAAAATTGATATAAAGCACACCAATTTTTATATTTCTGACTGTTTTGAGCTGCCTCTAGACAAGAAAAAATGTGCTGCGCTTGCATAGTTGTTCTTACTGCGATACGTTCAAGCAAACAATAATGAGATGCCTTTTGTTGACTCTTCTGCCTGGATTTCATTGACAGATGCGTCAAGCCCATGGATCCTTCCATGAGTGACAAGCGAACCGTAACAATTATTATTAATAATAAAAGAATTTTCATCCAGCGCATGCGCCAAGAGTGAATAGCAACTAAATAGAGCGGTTGTCAGTTGACAATCCCCCTTTTATTTACAATGCAGTTGCGTTAGGTCCATCACTTTCTGAACAAAAAAAGAAGAAGAAGAAAATTGAAAGGAGTGACAGGTACATGATATGAAATGTTAGGAGGAGAGACAGTAAATTAGAAGGAGAGGAGAGATGAGACAGACAGTGTTAGGAGGAGAAGGAGAGAAAAGAAGAACAAACGTTATTGGGACGAGTACGTGGAGCAGAATTTGAAAGTCATGGGCTGAGGCAGATATGATGCTGATATTCAGAGATGGGCATGTTCCCACAACCAGTCGTTGGTCTTCAAATAGTGGGTGACTGCAACCTTGAAATGTTGCAAGTTCTTGGGGCATAAATGGACCAGAGGAGACTCCGGCGGGCAGCTGGTTCCAGACGGGGGCAACTGCGTGAGGTTTGGCTCAACAAAGGTTGTGTCTGGACCGGGCTGGAAGTTCATTTGCCAGTTGGTGCACGGGGGCATTACATCTCTGAGACGTGCTATGGGAGGACTGGACTG